CTCCCAAGCGGTGCACTGTAGCAGTGCCCCACTGGGCCAGCCCGTATATTTACCTTTATAAAGCTTTCAAAAGCCAAGAGGAAACAAAATGAATATGTGTTCTTTCTGAGAAATCCTCTTCTTTCTGTACTCGATTGTTTTCAGAATCCCTGTGTTGGGTGTGGCATACCACACTAATGCTCTTGCTAGTAACAGGAGAGTCAGACACAGCTAAACATGAAGATCATTTGGTTAACAGGTATTTACCAGGTGCAAATAGAGGCCCATTTATATTGCTGCACCCACTTCTGAAAAGCATAACGTAAATACAGTATACTAATTTAAGAGGCAAAGAATCATCTAACATCACATTTTAAAGAAGGTGACCACCTTTTAATGGCATTCCACACACCAAACTCCACCCTCACTGCCTTTCACAAAGGCTTAAAAGAGATCTACCCATAGTTCTACAGCTGGCCTACAAACACACATATCCTCCATTCTCTCCTTTTCCTCTCTTTAGCAGTTTGACAAAATCTTTAGGAGGAGTTGGAAGAACAACTAGTGTTTAATCCCCTACTTCTTTCAAAGCCCTGACTTTTGAGTTCTACCCCTGTCAGGGCGTCAGAGTTCACTGTCAACACTCTCCCTTTGAACTCTGTCACTTATAAAATTATCTCAAGGCTAAGGGAAGAGACAGTAGGTCCACTTCACAAGTAAGTGTGCAGTGACTGATTTAGGAAGGTTTTCTCTGTAGACAGTTGTTTCTCATTTCTTTTAGAGACAAATCCCACTTTGTTTCCTAGTGTCTAAAATTATTAAAATCAAAGTCTCTCAGAACTTCCCCAGCATTTGGTAAATTCATGCTGGGAGAGAACTGGCAGAGACATGTTAAATGCACTTGACAACAAGACTGTCGAGCTCTTTTACCTGACCGTAATCCTGCCGACTGGGCCAATTGTCGAGCTAGGGCTGGGTCTGGAGCTCACAGACCCCTCAAGTCCATTGTCCAGACTGGGTAACAAACCTTTCACATGCCAGGCTGGGTCCCCAGACCCCTTACACACAGGTCTATGAGCTAGGTAACCAGTAAAATCGTCCTTGGAGCCATAGGTTCGAGAGCATGGCCGTGCAGGTGGATGCTGGGGGCACTCCAACTCCAGCCAAGCAGTGGTGCCGCGCATGTGCCCTAACTTCACCCACACACAACTTATTTACAAAGAATGTGCTGCACCACCCCCAACCGGACCTAAGGCAAGGGGGCCTGATTAAATTATTCTATTTTCCCAACAAAGACCCAGTCATTTCATACAATATTTGCCATGTATTCATTGTGCACCTACTATAGATCTCGGCACTGGAGATACTGCAAGAAAACTCTATCCCTGCCTCATAGAACTTGTCCAGAAAATAGGGAACAAGGCTCAGAACTTTTCAAATGAAGCCTCAGTTGGGACAAATCAAAATAAGCTTTAAAAAATCAATATGAAAGTCTTCAAATATATTAAGTATTGCTTGATGAACCCCAGGAATAGAAATTTGACGGATTGAAAGTTTCAATAAAATACCAATCCTTGAATCTAATCTAGCACCTGAAATTAGGAAACCAAACACTAGCCAGATTTTTTTCTCCTATTTTTTAAATTTTCTCATGAGAAAAAAGAAGTATTACTTCCAAGCCTGGAAATAGATGGGAAATGTTTAATATTTATTATTGCAGAAAAAAATAGATTTTCTATTTTCACAAATCAGTGCCAATATTAAGCTACAGAATGTTTCTGTCATATCAGTCTCACAACTCTAAGCATTCACAGAAATAATTTCTCCTCATTGAGTTTACTGTTCAGTTTCCTTAATTATACCTTCTTTAATTGCTATCATGGCATATCTGGACTTTATAATCCCAAATACTAAGGTGTTTACTTTATGCATCACCTCCACACTTGTATGTTGTGCCAAGAATTTTTAAAATTTTGTTGTTGACAGGAAGAGGAAATTCTATGGTTTGCTCAATCCGGAAAGTCCTCAGTACATTTCCGACACAAAACTGTGTTAAACACATATGTAAACTCATAATTCCAGAAGACTCATGTGAGGTTTACACGGTGAGCTTCATTTCCTCATCATCCTCATATACCTTAATCCTGTGTACAAATTCTACCCCCACCATTCTATGGACAAAACAATCCTTGATATAGAGTTAAAAAAAATTTTTTCTTGACCTTATTCCAAATGTAATGCAGGTTCAATATAGAAAACTGAAAAACACAAAGAAAATGAAATAACTATAACCCTATAAACTATCGTTTATTTTGGTGTATTTCAATATGGTATGTTTGTTTTAATAAAATGAATGCCAAAAGGCACATACTGATTTGGAGTCTGCTTTTCCTCTTACAAATGTATCATAGTTTCTCACACTGGTTTCTTTTACAATGCTTGCTGCACAGAATTTCATCACATAAAGGTACCTACCCTAAATTCCTTAATATTTTGCTAGACACTTAGGGTTTAATATATTTTTTCCAAAATTATAAATACGTACTCACAGCTCTGATGTTTCTTTGTGATTAACTTTTAAGTGGAACTGGTGGCCTAAAAGTCATGTGCACTTTAAGACTCTTAAAATACCGAAAAGTTATGTTAAAAACTAAAAGTTAAGAGTGCTGGTCCCCCGCAACATGCTCACTTCCATTGGCTGACGTTTTTATTCTCTGTCAACCTGAGAGGAAGAAAATATTCCTCAATCCAGAGTTCCCAGAAATGGTGACAACGCCGGCTCCGTTTCCTTTGCACCCACTGAGGCGGAGAGCGGCCCTTTCCAGCAAACCTCTGCGGCCTTCCAGGCTGGTCTGCAGAAGATGCAGCCGGAGAACAGTCAAGCCCCCCGGGGAGGAGCGACAGCCGCCCGCGGAACCCGCTCGCCTCGACCCCAGCCACGGCCACGCCGGGCCTTCTCGACGCCGCCGGTTGGCCCCGGCCGGCTTCCGTACTCGGAGCCCCTTCTGTCCGGGGCGCGGCCCAGGCCACGCCCTCCTGCCCGCGGACCCTAACACTTCATGAGTTTGGGGATTGTTGCGTGTGATAACCAGACTCAGCAGACATTTCCCTGCTCCGCCAGCTGTCAGTTTTTCCGCTCATCACCGGGAAAATGACGGCGTCTTCCGCGTCGCGCAAGGCACCTGCCCGCTGCCAGGAACCTGCCCGCTGCCAGGAACGTCCCCTTCCTTCCCGGTGCCTCTTTGGAATTATTCTGGTGGCCCTGGTGTTCCTTCTGTTTACATATTCCGGTAGGAGCCTGGAGAGGGTGGGTGCGCCGGCGGCGAGGCTGGAGCATTGCTCGGTGGGTCGGGGTGGGGGCGCGGAGGCGGGGTGAGCTGCGGTCCTGCTGGGTTGGGGTAGAGGGCGTGGCCCCGGTTCTCCTCCGGGTGCAGCGCAGGGACCCCGGGCGTGTGTGTGTGTTTGTGGCTGGGGGACGTGGAGACCCTGCAGTGCCCGAGGTGAAGGCCTGCTTGGTGCTCGGCCGTGAGCGGTGCCGGTGTGGTGGGCGCGGCGGTGCTTAGCCAGGGTATAGCCGTGCGCCTCGCTAAAGCTTGCAGCGTGTTTCAGGGTTGAGCCAGGTCGGGGTGGAGAGAGCGCACCGGTGCTCCAGGTGAGGGCTTGCTGTGGGGCGCGTGCGAGTGTTGCTGGGGCCAGCGCGGGGCCCGTGGTGAGAGTTCGCACTGTGTTCTCTTGGGGTGAGGGGCTTGGTGACTGGGGTGTTCCCTACGGTCTCGGCAATACCTGCGGTGAGGGTTGCTGTGTGTCTGCTGCGCCCCGAAGAGCTGGGCTGGGGGAGCCCGAGCCGAGTGTTGCTCGGAGTGTGCGGTACAAAAGTGGCCTGCCCTGCGGTGTCAAGTGTGGCACAAGGACCCTCGCTGTTTGCTTTGTATGGGGTGAGCGCGGGCTCTGCGGCTCAGAGGGCATGTTGTGCTGCTGGTGCTCGGGGCCGGAGCAGGTTGGGTGCAGAGGGATGCAAAGGTAGTGCTCATGTGGGCCCATTTACTGAATCAGCCATCCCGTTTTGTTACCTACAGTGAACACCCTCCTTGTTGGAGACCGGATGGTCTTGGTTTACAAGAGGCTGCTATATTTATTTATTTATTTGGACATGTAATCATTTCATTCCCAGCCAAGATAAACAGTATCCGATTCTATTACCTAATGGTTTTTTGGCATTGTTTTCTTTCTTTTCGTTATGTTGGGTCATATTTGAGAGAAGTCCTGAAGCAACCTAGAAAACATTGGTAGCCAAACCTAGTGAGAAATTCGTATCCTAAGAAAGGAACAATAAATAACGCTAATCTGGTTTTCCCCTACAACTCAAAACTAAAGCTGAAAGTTTTGTGTTTTATTGAATAGAATACTTTAAAACATACATGCTAAAATATGCATGCTTATTGTATAAAAACTTTACACAGTCAAAGGACAATTCTAATATTCTGATGTACTTTCTTCTGTCTTTATATGTGTTTCTATGCCTAAATTCTTTTAGGATCCGGTTACATATACAGTTTGTATGCTGCATTTCTTTCCTTAGCATTCATTCAACAAATATTTGTCTTCTACATGCCAGGTCCTGTGCTGGTCCTGAGGATACGCTGGTAGGCAATAACAAACCATTCCTATTTTCATGATCCTTATTTCACATTTGTTTATAAGCAGGAACACACATGCATGAATATAAGCAGGAACTTTGTTTTGCTCACTGTTATATCCCTGGTACCAGGCACACAATAGGCAGTAGTAAATATGTGTTGAATTTTATTGGGAGTGGCAGACATTAACCAAAATATAAATATAAACCAAGATATAAATATAAATATATGATATATATATCATATATATATATAATAAATATAAAACAAGAGAAGTGCTCTGGAGGAAGGGAGCATGTTTCTCTGCCAGCACTTGTAAGGAAAATAGAAAAGTTTAGTCAGGATCTCTTGCCTCACATCTGTTACAAATGGGCAAGATTCAGCACATTCACTAGAAACAAGTTATAAAGGTCGTGTAACTGCGCATGTGTGCCCATTTACTGAATTAGCATGATTGTTGTAATTATGAAATGCTTGGCTTGTGGCTGCTATTGTGTACTAAGAGTATAAAGATAACTGCTCAGAGCATGGAGGGTCAGTGGAGTAGAGGCAGAACTCATGTCTGAGAGTAAAGCATGTCTGTGAAGCTCATATCTGAAGAATAAAATATCTACCTTGCACAAAGCTGCCAGAATCTTCTTTCGATTACCTGACTCTTGACCTGCACAAGAAGGGACAGAAGGATCTAAAATTCCTGCTTGGCAGCACTTAACAAATGTCTGAAGGCAAAGAAGACTTTTCTGCTTATCAAACAGGCTAAACTTGGGTGTCTGCACTTGCTGTTCCCTTGGCCTTGGGACATTCTCTTCCTTTTTCACTACATAATTGGCTCTGTCTTATCCTGCAGACTCAACTATAATTTTATCCCTGCAGAAAGACCTTCTCTGACCACCTTATCTCAGATAGGCCCGCATACACACACCACAGCTCAAATCTCCCCCTAACTTGTAATCACCCTTCTAAAACTATCTTTTCTGTTCTCTGTCTCATCCCATTGGAATGTAAAGATCTCATCTGTGTTGTCACACTTGGGGTTCCAAATGCCCATTTTTTTTTTTGCTTCAATATTAACACTCTGATATAACTGTTAAGTACCAGAAAATTAAATATAATATTTGGTCAGAGCCTAGAGCCCAGGAAAAAATTCCTTCTGCCTCCAAGAGGAAAGTTCTTTAAAGAGCCATGCTTAGGATGGCCTTTCAGTGGTGCCTAAAAAGCTAGGAAAGGGGCAGCTGAAGGTCAGAAAGGATCTGTCTTCCCCTGTTTGTGTAGACTCTCCAGGTCTCCCAGTGCTCCAGTCTTATCATTAAAAGTTCTCGAGCCGGCCCCGTGGCTCACTCGGGAGAGTGCAGCGCTGGTAGCGCCGAGGCCGCGGGTTTGGATCCTATATAGGGATGGCCCGTGCGCTCACTGGCTGAGCATGGTGCAGACCAAACCGTGCTGAGGGTTGCAATCCCCTTACTGGTCCAAAAGAAAAAGTTCTGATCATTAAAAAGTTTATTTTGAGGGACTGTTGGGGGTAAGGAGCAGTGGTGATAAAGAAAAGGAATCTTTTTTTTTTTTTTTTTAATGATAAGCTTAAAACTGGAAGTTGAAGAAGACTATGAAAGCTATTTGAAATAGAGGAAAATAAATACAATGAATAGGGTGTAACATGGAAGGGAACACAACTAAAAATGAAGAGGAGGAAAAACAAGGTTAAGTTTAAGGTTAAATGGTAAAGTCAAGATAGGTATGAAACCTAGAGAAAGTAAAAATGAGGACTCACTGTGCTAGGCAGGGAGAATACATGGATAAAATAAACATTTCATTTTTGGAGCAACTCACTCTCTCATGAGGGGGAGATTTTGTTAACAGTGCTGTGCACAAGAGGCCTGCCATCTCAGAGGCAGTTGACAAATGACATGAGATCACAGAATAAAACATTTGTCAAATTTTGAGACCAGTCTCATTCCTCCAGAAAGGGGGCTGCTTTTTGGGACAAAACCTACTATGTGTTGTTTGTGGTCTCTTCTGCCTATTTTAAGTCTTTTCCTTCTTTCCAATTAAAGAAGCCAAAATCAATAAGTGCTCACATAGTAGTGTCTTAGTTTCCTTAGCCTGCAAACTACAATGCCAAGAGAGTAGTCCTTATCTAGTCAACTGCTAGGTTACCAGAATATGCGGAGACAGGCAACAAGAGAAATCGCCAAGTCTCCATTCTCCAATCATAAAGCTTTAAAATAATTATTTTCAGTATGAAATTCCTTACAGTCCATTCTTTACCATTGTTTTGTGTTTGACAACAGTGGTACCTTGAGTACCAAATTTTTTTGAATAGCTACTATGAGGGACATATTATGCTAGGTGTTGTGGCCTGTGTTTAATATTAACTATTAAACACAAAAGCTTGTGATAGTTACCTGAGAGATTCATGCAGAGAAGAGTGCAAGGGGAGGCGACTGATCACCCCTTCCCAGGGGGAGGCTGAAAATGCTTTCTAGAGGAGATGATGTGTGGATTAAGACTAGCAAGACAAGAGCTGAGCAGGAGTTGCAGCTGACCAGGGAGGAAGGGCATTCAAAACAGAGGAAGCAGTGTCAGCAAAGGCACCAAGATGTGACTCAGTTTGACTGCCACAGTACTCAGTGTGGCAGCAGTAGGGCAGAGGATGCAAGAAAAACGGAGCGGACTAGATCACACAGTGAAAAATTATGAAAAGCAACAGGCTAGTTAGGAATAAACAGCCAACATCATAAATTCAAACTCTAATATTACCTGAATTTTTAGGGCAGCTTGAGCCCTTTTGTTTGACTTGGCACAATGTGAATCTCAACTAGGGTTGCTTTAATTTCCCCAGGCACAGTAGAAGACAATTCTTGAGGACTGAGTGGCAGGTAGAGTATGTTGGTGTGAGCATGGGGGGGGG